GTCACCTCAACCACAACCCATTGATTCTGCTCCATGCAGCACATTTGCATCCTTAAGCAGGTTATTAAAAAGAAGTGGCATGTCCCCAAGCTGAAGATTTAATTTGCATGGGAAGAACACTTACCTCACTAAACTAACTAAATATGCATTTATTAAAGCTCCAATTTTTTTTTTTTATTTTTGTTATTTCTCTGCATTTGCAGCTTCTTTCCTCCTACAGTACAGAAACAGTGGAAGCTGTTCCACCTTTCAGGGGTGCATCCCTTTGGCATTCAGGGCTCCTCAATCTCTACCTAACAGACTAGTTAGTATTATATAACAATAATATGAACCCAAAGAACGTCTTTCCACAAGTAATTGGTAGGAATGTAGTATGATTTGTAAAAATTATTATTAGAATAAGAACAGTAGGAGTGAGAAGGCAACAGACAATGCCAGAGAGATGCCAGGAAAGTCAAATGACACAAAACCTTTTGTAGATATTCTGTGAATCTTGTTGCACACTTTGCTTGTGGGGAGATAGTGTACCACACCACTGTAACTTGTTCCTGGACAATATGGACTTCTTGTTAGCCAGAATATTCCAGCAGCAGGTGAGACATTAATATGATCCTGCAGGAATGGGCTTCCTAAGTATTAAGTCTTGTTTAGAATTCACTGCAGTAGGAGTTGTGAGGTTTGGGGGTTTTATATTGTTTGTGGATGGAGATTTTACAATATTGCTTTGCTAGGTTGGAGTAGAAATGGGATGTGATTCAGTATTGATTTAATCTTGTACATCTACAGGTAAGTTCAGTTTTAATGTTGATTTCTATCACTAAGTACTATTGAAAGTCCATATCTGAAAGAGTGAAATTAAATATTATACTGCTAATTTTCACCACCAATGTATATAGATTGGTATCTGTAGTGCTGGAAAAGTCCATAACAAAAGCAGGCCCATAAAAGCCTGAGCCTTTACAGCATGCTAATGGCTTTCCATTAGGTCAGATTAATGCTTGCTGCTTGGTGAAAATAGGTATTTAGCAACAGTGCTTTCAGTTTGTGAGGAATAAATAACTGCTGGACCAAGTGCTTCACCCTAGGGAATAAATCTGCACTTTGGCTTCTTGTTAATAAATCACTTTCTGCAGGATAATTTGTCACATCAGCAGATGCAGATCTGAGGATGTTGTTGGTCCAGCAGCTCTCATATCCTCCCCTGCATTCTCATTGCTGAGACTCCGAGAAGGGGCAGATTCTGCCCTGCTCCAGGTCCCAGTGCCACCCCAGGGCAGGACTGTGATCTGGGCTCAGGCTGGGAGCTTTACCCAGCTCTTACCCAGCTCTTCCCCAGCTCTTACCCAGCTCCTACCCAGCTCCTACCCAGCTCTTCCCCAGCTCTTCTCCAGCTCTTCCCCAGCTCCTACCCAGCTCTTACCCAGCTCTTACCCAGCTCCTACCCAGCTCTTTCCCAGCTCTTTCCCAGCTCTTTCCCAGCTCTTTCCCAGCTCTTACCCGCCTTCCTCCTCATCCCTGGCTGCAGTAGCTCCCATCCCAGCCTGCTGCTCTCAGGAAAGCCATGGGCTCTGAGCAGATCATCACAGCCATCAGCAGGGGAGGATCCAGAAATTAATGCCACACAGGGGCTGATATCAGATGGCTGCTAAAGCAGTTGACATCAGTAAAATAGCAAGGGTGAAGAACTGTGGGTTGTTTTCTCTTTAAGAGGGGCAGGAAATGAATTGAAGCCCAGGTCTCTTATCTCAGAGAAGACACACACCAGTGAAAATGCCTATTTACATGTGTGTGTAAAGCTCTGGTGTTTCTCAGCACCAGAGCTTTAAATGGTTGTTGACAGTTGACTGGACAGGTTCCAGTTGTGAGAGAGGGGCTGTGCAGAGTCTCCTCCCTTGGCAATTCTCTTCAGGCTGGATTTTTAAATCAGTGCTTCTAGTCATGTCAATATCCATATTGTTTGCAACCCTGGTGTTCTCTCCTTATAAATCTTCAAATAGCAAGAGACCCATTATCACATCCATTCCTCCTACAGCCCTGTGCTTCTTATGTGAGAAATGTGACTTGAAACTTCTATTAATAGTGAAGAGGTACATTTGCACTGCATTTTTCATGAAGAGGGTTCTTAAAAATGCTTTATAACTTCTACTAATGTAAATTTATATGTAAGGATCTCAGATGAGGGGCTCCTCCAAGCTAATTGTTTGATATATAACTAATGGGCCTTACCACCAGAAATAAAACATTGACTGCTCTGGTTCCTAGATGCCAGAGCACTGATTTTGTTTATATGAAACTCCTGTCCCAAATGTGCCCCAAACAAAAAAATACAGAATTATTATATGCCTCTGATAATGAAATAAATTAATATGAAATGAAATTCAAATGAAATAAATAAAAATGGAATGCAGTTCCATTGGGTAGAAAGGCAGGATTTTTTTAACCAGACATGGTAGCATTAAAATAAAATTTAATGCAAGAAATGTAAAATAAAAGAATGCTTCCTCTATTTTAATGTGCAGGAGAAAGTAAGATTGAGGGCATTAAATACTTGAATAGAAAATTAACTGAACTTTGCATTAAATTTTTGAAGTCTTGTCCAGAAATTTATTATTCACTCCATATTAATGGCAAAGTTGGCTGCTGTTTGAGTCATGAAACAGTATTTATTCTAGTGAAGAAAGACTGCAGTCCTAAGAGAGAACCTCAACCTCATACTCACTGTGGAATCATCCCTAAGCAGCATACTCAAGGAATATCTCATTTATTCACAGAAAATCTATCCAGAATGCAGAAAACTCCAGTTCTGGTCTTGCTGTCAATCATGCCTCAGATCAAATTCCAAAGGAAATTTGCAGGGTTTGTGGTCAGCAAAAACAAAAACAATAAATTCACCCAGGGTTCACTCTCAAACACTGCCCTCAAAAAAAGCTGTTTCTCAACATGGCTAAAGTTCCAAACATGAAAAATCTGTAACGGCTTCATTAGAAATGGCATTTTACAGACCCTGACATGTTTGATTGGCTGTTATAGAGACAAGTTGTTCCAAGTCTGATTTGCCATTAATTACTTCTGTTTACCATTCATTAATTACTTCTGTCCCACCTATGCTGTGCATTCAATCCTGGTTGGTATTGCAGTTTAAAAGCATGGATTCCAATTACCCCAGTCAATGCAGTTTACACCAAGTGACCACTTTATGAGGTTTATTTTAGAGACTTTATTTGGCCCTGGGGAGGGCATCCTGCAGGGTGCTGAGGCTGGGGACAGGGGGTGTGTGCTCCTTGTTCCTGCCCTCCATACAGGGTGAGTTTGGGAGCAAATCCAGTGTCCCCCAAAGCATTTGGCTTAATTTGGGTTGCTGTGGTGTCTGGGGTTGGCTTTGTGTTTGGAAATACACAAATCTAAGTCTGGAAAATGGTTCTAGAAGGTGTTTTCTTTATTATTATTTCTTTTTCCTGGGCCTTGACTGTCTGTGAGCTCAGTGTACCTGTCCAGAAGGCACAAGAATGGATGTTTGTAGTCCAGAGTTCCAGCCTTGGCCTCCATGTGCCACCATGATTATTTAAAGTATCAGGTTTGCACAATAAAACTGTATTATTCATTTCTTGGATTAATAAATTCTCCTTTTTTTTTCACCCAACTTGGAAAGATAAGATAGTTTACTATGAGTAAAATGTGATGTTAATTCAAATGAGAAAATAAAGTGGTAGCTTTTTCAGCAAGGTTGGCCACTTTACAATTATTTTTGTGTTGTCCTCCATTTATTTTACATTAATGGGATTTTTTGTTTAAGACCTGATTTTTCCTTACCTGAACTCAGCTTTAGAGGGATATTGGTCTTCATATCTTTATCTTTCATAGGAAAATTTATCAAACCCTTTCAGTGTTACAGAAAAAAAATGGAGAAATCTTTCTTTTTCTCTCCCTGAAATTTAGAAAATACTATAATTTCTATTTTTAACTTCAGAGTTATTCCTGTCCCAAACTAAAGTGTGAGAACAAACAAATCCTCAGAACAGCTGTGACATATCAGCAAGTTCCTTGTCATTGGAGCAGTGAGTTAAACTTGGGAGAGCTGTGGAACTCAATTTTCTTCAATAAGGTGGAAGGAAGGATATTATAATGTGCAGTGAGATGGAGAAGACTTATTGTGACTGTGAAGGATGTCTGCCTCTATGGCATAAAGTCTTGCTCTGTATTTCAAGAAATGTCGTTTAAAATGTAGAATGAGTGCACAGTAGGAATAATAAAATTGCCTGAGCATGTCAATTTTAAGCACTAAACATGATACAGAAATAAGAATATTTTTTTTGACAGAAACTCATTGCAAATGCAGGTTTCTTCCCTAAAAATATTTGCTTCAGCTGAACATTAATCTCTTGGCAGAAATTTCTGGGAAAATTAGATACTTCTCGGTAAAATTTATAAGAAAATAAATGCTTTACCAAGTTAACAAAATGGAATTGACAACCTTCAGAGGTGGTAGAGTCTCACTTGCAGTAGAACTAGAGCAACATAACAATTTTTTCTGTATATAAATAAGTATATATATTTTCTATTACTGTGATAATAGCTTTATATAAAGCCAAATGTGCTTATAAATTATCCCTAGCATCTTTTTTGAGTAGCATGTCTAGGCAAGGATGTCCCTCCTCCCCATCTGTTTGACTGATATTTTTCTCTGAAATCCTAAAAGGTGAAAACATTTAAGTTAAACAGTCACATAGCTCTAATTGCCAACTGGCAGGGAGCTCTGCATGGCACTTCTTCCATCACCACTCGTGTCAGCTTCCAAGGAAGTACTTGAGCACAACTTAAAATTCAGCATGACTTACATTTTCTTTTTATCTCGCATCCTTTTCCCTGACCTTCTCTTTTTCCTTCAGAGCTCTTAATGAGGAGAACTTTACAACCATAAACACAATTTTCCTAATGGTCTCTCTGGGGAGAGGCTTTTCCCTGGTGGCCCTGACTCAGCCTGCTGCTTTGTTCTCTCCTAGCTTGCACAGACAAGGAGCTGAGGAGTCTGGCCTCGAGGCTGAAGGACTGGTTTGGAGCCCTGCACGAGGATGCCAATCGTGTCATCAAACCCACGAGCTCGGAGACAGCACAAGGCAGTAAGAAACCCCTTCCCCTTCAACTCTGGGTGTTGTAGGAGCTTCCAACCTGAGAATTTAACTGAGCACTGCTGCAACATCCTGTCAGGCAGGTGCCAGTGAATAAGCAGGTACCTTAAGTCCTGATCCTGCTGTTTTCTGAAGGAGCTGCAGTCGTTCTGTCCCCTCTCTCTGCCCCAAACTGCCCTAGAAACTGGCAGTCAAAGGCAGAGAGACCTTCACAAGTTAATCAGGCAAATAAATGTCTGAAGGCCATGGAGAACAGCCCTGTATGAGGAACTGAAACTGCTCAGGGAGTTCTCTCAAGAGCTGGGGTTAGTTATTGTGGTGTAGTTTGTGTCTGTACAGTTAAATTCCATCACCTTCCAATTCAGCGTGGCTGCATCCAAATCATTCCTTGGGGTTGGACTCTGGTCACTGCTTAACCACCAGTTTTATGACCAGGCATTTTCTGACACATTGTCAGTGGCATAAGATGAAAATATGGCATACAAGCATAGGAAACGTTATGCCAATGTTGGAAAAAACTCACTTAGATTTTACTTTAAAAATTCCTCTTAACAGTTTATGTAAGGGAAAGAATAATCAAAACATCCACATCTGAGCCATGTAGCTAGAAGAGTTAAATGGTGGAGAAAGCTGCAGCCCATTGTGTCCTGGGTATTTAATAACACCATCTTTGCCTTCTTTGATGCATTTTTTTTAAGAAAGAAAGAATACGAACAGTCTAGAGGACATTTACTCTCTGTGGGTTAAGCCAACATGACTGATTTTGATGTCATTTAGCCACTAGGGAGGGGAAGGATTCAGATAACAGCATTAAAAGAGGTCATGCTCATCAGAGAGCAGATGCAAATTCACTTTCTGTGAGGACTCATTAATTCTTTTAAAGAGTGTCCCAAAACACGTGGGCTCTTGGGCTGCAAAGCAGGATGCACAAGTTTTATCTAGGTGTGTGCTTCACTTAACTTCACTGATTCTCTACGGTGAGCTGTCTAAAGCCAGGGTCCAAACCCAGAATTGGAAGGGTCCAGCAGCTGTTGCTTTTATGGCTTTTTTCAGCTGATGTCCCTGTAGAATGACAGCACAGAGGCTACAGGAGCACTAGAGGAGACCCAGCACATCAGGGTGGGCATTTTCTGTTGGTCCAGGTCTCCACAGCCCCAATTTTTTGCTACATCTGAGCTGGGGTAGCAGCAGATTAGCTCTTCCTAAAGAGAATATACCATGGGCAGTATTGCTCAAAACTACAGACAAATCCAGTAATTCCACCACACATCTTAAAACTCTGTGCTGAAACAAGTCATGTTTAGTGTAAATGATCTTTTTTTCATGTGTCCCTTATTTTGCACAGTATTTGCAACAAAGTCAGTGTCTTTAAAATTGTATGTCCTACTTATTTCTGAAAAAGTGCTCCAAAAAAGATATTCTCATGCAGAGGATCTGAACCACAGTGCAAAAAGCAACTGGATGTACAGCTAATCATGGCTTCCAGATGTGAATTCATTTCAAACCCCATGACAGAAAGCCTTAGAGGCTTTAAACTTTATTTGAAGTCCTTTAGGCCCAGAATCATAGGAAATCTTATTTTATCAGATTGTCAAAAGGATGTTTTCATGCAGTTGATTCATGACATTCTCTTGGTGACCTTGCCAGAGACCAAATCCTAAGGTGTTGAGTAGTTGTTTTTTGGGTTTTTTCTCCTTAAGCAGTTTCAGTGAGAAAAACATTCCTGGTAATTCTGCAGTGTTTGCTCTGATTCACAGAGGAGCTGTTATCTCTTTTTAGTTTAGTTTGATTCCTGGCAGCTTTTATTTGAAAGGCTGCCTGATGATTTTAAACACTTGATCTCAACAATGTTCGTTTTTAGACTGTTGACTTAGTTTGCACATTTTCTACATTTTCTTATTTTCTTCTATATCAATTTAAAAAAAAAAGAAAGAAACTTTATGAGTTTAGATACCTAAGCCAGTTTTAAATGCCACAAAACTTGGGCTTGTTTTTCTTTTTGAGGTTTTGCAACAGAATTCATGAATTAATCTGCATGTGCCAAATTCTGCAGCTCACATTCTCCCTGGTGGCACTGAAAATACACACAGGGTGAGGACAGCAGTATTTGGCTCTCTCCAACTTCAAACATTTGTAAAAATGAAAGACACCTTAAACAGGGCTCAGAATTCAAAGCACAGTTCACATACCCAAGCTGTGGAAAGGGATGTCTGTGAATCCTGGCACACAGGACACCCACAATCTGATGTACACATTGCCCTTTTTTATGGCTCAGCCTATGTTGCCCTCCTCACCACACACTTCCCTTCATTAAACTGAGCCGGTTTGGTTGGGCCTGCAGGGTTTGAAAAGGCATGAACATCCCCAAATAATCCATTTTGGATGTACCCCCGCGGCAGTGGAAGGAGCAGATGGTGGGATGCCATGACTCCAGTGCCTTGGACACATCAGCTGTCCAGAGAAGGTTTTCCAGCAGAGATTTCTCTGTGCTACATTAATTTTTCAAGATGTTAGTGTGAGTGTAAATAAGCATTTTGAGTGTATTATGTTCACCCCTAGGTGAAGGAATAAAAAGTACACTCCTTCTTTTCTTTTTAAGTCTCTTGAAAGGAAAAGGAGGAGGAAGATCATTGTGTTTAGATTTCAAACCTTCTTTCCCTGAGCTCTCTGATCGCAGCAAAGCACTGTGGGCCAGGTACTTTGTCTTCTGAAGGCTTTGTGCAATTAAAATCTCCTCAATAAGTGATGTAAGAAACTCAGGAACGTGTTTTGACATAGGGAAATAATGGAACTAATTAGGTAGCAAGATCAGATTCAAATTGCTCCTGAGCCTGTTGACAATTCATAACATCCCCATATTGTATCCAGATAGTCTCCCTGGTTGAAGTGGGTGTTGTTTTTCTTTTACTAGAGGTCTATGCAATATAAAAGATTTTTTCCTGGGGAACATTTCTTCTTCTCCTTCTTTTATTTTAAGCGAGGGGGGAAATTAGGTTAATTATACCCCTGTTAATTTAATTGTAGTATGCTTTAATAAAATAAAAAATGGCTGATGTAAGTCAACTCTTGAAGGGGGAAAATAATTCTTTCATGCCAGAAGGTGTGTTTATTTTTAATAAGGATTTTCACCTAAAGACTTTTTTAAATTTAATTCCATTTTAGTTCAGAGGAGGTGGAGCATTTTCTGTGTTAATGGGATGAGAGACTTTTACATGTAGGTCACCAGCTTGATTTCCTTCCAGCTCTGTAGTGAATGAAAGTTGTCAGGATGCTGAACAGCTGTCAGTTGCAAAGAGGAACAAGATGGTCTTAGTCCAGGTCCTTGTGAGCAGGTGTCCAAATGAGAGCAGCCACCACCTCAGCTGACATTAATTGGCATCTGTGTGGGCAGCCTCTGCCAAGGAGCCAACAGGGATGTGGAGCCTGCACCATCCTCCTGCTTCTCACCAGAGGCACTGCAGCACTGAGCTGATGAACAGAAAATGCAGAGTTCTCACTGAGGTTGCTTATTCTGGGTCTGTTGTGCTGGAAATCCAGCCTGTTAACCAAGCACTGAATTCTTCACAGGATTATAGTATGGGGTTTGTTTCATCCAGAAAATTTCATCATATTAATAGATAAGTATATCAAAAGAGTTTAAAAAGAAGTTAATTCAGTCAACTTGTCCTCACCAGGCTGGTGGGAGCACAGTGACCTCCCATGAAGGTAAGTGAGCTCCAAAAGCCATTTTCCATCAGCTGCCCTGGTTATGCCATGAATCAGAGCCTGTGTTGGACAGTTAGGGGACATTTGGCTTTCACTCCTGGTGCTGGGTGCTGAGAACATCCAGGGTTCTTAGGTTTGGGCAGCAGATGCAATTTATGGACAGTACCTTTTACCAGGAGACAATATGGAGTTGCTGTTTACCTTGAACAACATACTGGGGGACAGTTAAAGAATTAACTTTCCACTGATAATAACCATCTAGCTAAGGATTTTCTGTCACACCTACCACTTCCATATTTAAGGACTTCCAGGCCACATTGTCTGGTAATCCAGCACTGTTTAGTAAACCAGCCTCTTAATGAATCTAATCTGGAACTCAGCTCACAACAGTGAAAGCTCCCTTTTTAATAAGAAATTATAATCAAAACTTCTTCAATTAATGTAATTAACTGTCTTCTCAATGACCTTTCCCAGCTGTATCTCCCACCCAGCCCTGATGATGTGTCACAGAGCAGCTTTGTGCTCCCTGCAGTCACTGCTGGTGATTTGCTCAGACAGATCCGTGCTGAGGACAGGCTGGTGGTGAATCCCCATTGCACACACAGGTGGAGATCTCCCAACAGGGAGGACAACAAGGCTCAGAAATAATCTACAGGCACTGTCAGAGGCAAGCTCATCCCAGATCTCCCTGCTTTGGTCCCTGCCAGTTAAGAGATGACTTTAGGGACCATTAGGGCTGAGCAACACATACCATGCTCAACTGATGATACAGCACACCTTGCAGTTACTCATCTTTTGCAGCAGTGCCACCACAGCATGTAAAATCCATTGTCAGAGAGAGCATCTGTGCAGAAACAGAGCAGACATTGGAAACTAACTCTTTTTCTCCTGAAAACTGTTAAAATGGGATAGCTGGAGCTGATCCCAGCTCCACCCTGCAGCTGAATGATCCACCCCAGCCTGTTTGACTACTTTTAGCCTGCCCTGGGTTGGGGAATCTGGCACCAAACACCTGCACAGGGCAAGACTGGGTGCCCTCTCCTGTTGCTCTGTAAAGGCAAAGGTGAGGAATCTTAAATCCTTTCACTTCACAAAAGATTTTGCACAGTGACCAAATCCTGCTTGCCTTCTTTAGATGACTTCAATTATTTAAGTGAATATTTCTAATTGCTTCAGCAAGGCAAGCAGCTCCCCCCTACATCTACTCACACAGCCTTGTTCTTTTTCACTGTGCTCAAACATGATTAGATAATGTTATGGGAGATAACAGCATAAAAATGTGATGAAATGTTCAGCATGATTTCTCTCTTCCCTTTCTGAGCTGCTCTAGCCCTGAGGAAATGGTTTTACCTTCTTCCTTCCTTAGAGAAACATGTATTATGAATGACACAAACCTTCCCATTAGTTAACCCTTCTGATTATCCCTCTGTGTCACTGACAACCTTCAGCCACAGCTGCATACGAAAACCACAGCTTCCAGCAAAAAGCCCTGCTCTCCTTTGGATTCATGCCTAAAATAGCAAGTAGGGTGCAGAGCTTGGGCAAACTGTCAGCATGATTCCAGCAACATCTCAGCTTTCACTTCAACAAAGCAGCATCCTGAAAGGAACACATACAGCAAATAAAGCTAAGCCTAACCTCTTTCAGTGAAAGTTGCAGCTGAAGGAAAAAGCTCATCAGGCTTCTCTCCATGGCCCAAAGCAAAGTGAGAGTGCACAGGCAGGTTATTGCTCCCAGCTGGAGCAGTGTGAGCACCAGGGGTGTCAGGAGCCCTCTGTCCCTGCAAATCCCCAACCAATGGATTCATGTTTCTGAGTCCTGGTTGAAACCAGTACCCTTGTTATCAGATTTATTATCTCTATATTACAAATATACTTCCTTACATTGTAGATAACTTGGAATTTAGTCTAAGCATTGAAAAAATACCATGACAGTGTAATTTATAGTGCCCCACACCACTGTTTTTCTGGAGACTGCAGGATCCTGGAACGTGTCTCTCGTATACACAGTGGGTATCTATATGCATGACTTGGGCTTTTGATAACCACTGCTGCTGCAGCAGTCTTTGAAGAATCTGGGCTATTAAAATGAATGATGGTGATGGTTTCCAAAGCGCTGGAGAAGCAGAATCCTGTGTTGCTGCAGCAAGGTGCTGGTACAGCATACGAGAGCATGGGCAGCTCCAGCTGAGGCTGTGCCCGCCCTCAGAGTGATGTGAGGAGCAGAGACACTTCACCTCTTCCCTCCCCCAGACAGCTCACAGTCCAGATCAAAGCAGTTTGTTGTCACAAACCACAGACAGGCCTTTGAAAAGTGAAAAGCAAGGATGAGAGGTAGAAGGTGAGAATACAGCAGGAAAGAATGTGATCAGGCAACTAGAAACAAGTCTGGGAAACAGGATTTAAATTGCATTCAGATACAGTCTAGGTTGAAAATATGGTGGATGCAGCCTTTTCTCATCACATTTCAGTTTCCTGGAACCAGACCAAGACACTGACTGAGAACTGAAGAAAAAAAAAGGGCAAGAATTTTTTGAGTAGAGATAACTTTAAATTACAGAAACCAGTTCTGAACCTCAGCCCTCTCTACCCCACAGGTCCCACAGAGTGTGAGTTTTGCTCTGGTTTGTAGCTGTGCTTGGGTTTAAGCTTTACACAGTGAGTTCAGTCATAGGATTTTGTTCTGCTTTGAGCAAGTCAGCTCAAAGTTCAGAGTCCAGCCCCAAAAACAAAAGGTGGCAGGGCTTCACCTTAGAGTGGTTCCTGTGCTGGGGTCATACTGGGGTTCAGCTGGGGAATATTTGCCTGTCTTCTTACAGGATTTGACACCAGCATCCTACCAATCTGTAAGGATTCCTTAGGCTGGATGTTCAACAAGCTTGACATGAACTATGACCTGCTGCTGGATCCCTCGGAGATCAGTGCCATTTACCTGGACAAGTACGAGCCGTGTGTCAAACCGCTCTTCAACTCCTGCGACTCCTTCAAGGACGGGAAGCTTTCCAACAACGAGTGGTGCTACTGCTTCCAGAAGCCAGGAGGTGAGCTGGGCCATGAGCAATGCAAACAGGAGCTGTTTGGCTCTCCCTGTGTCTCAGGGCCTGCCTGTAGAGTTTGCTCATAGGCAGGCAGGTGTGTTGAAAGCCCTTTTTCTCAGCACCAGTGTGAACGGCATTCTGGAACCATGTTTATTGTCATAGATGAACTATATTAACATCTCTTGATCATTAAAGCAAATAAAGTAGTAAGTGTCACTGCACACAGTCTAGAAATAAGCTCTGTTGCTGACAGAAAGCTCAAGAATTTGCTCTTTTATTAACACAGAATTTAGCCAATTAGCAAGTCATAAATCAGGGAGCTGGCATGATGTCAGTTTGGTGAAAAGAGAGGTAGAATGGTTTAACAATTAAAATGGCCCCCAAACGCTACTCTCAACTACAGTGTGTTGCCTTTTTTTTTCTTTTTTTTTTTTTTTAATTAGTGGAGCTAATGACATAAATTTGTTTTGCAGTACAGTACCAGCATATGGGCTTCTCTCAGTCCCAGGTGTACAGTAGCCCACATTTCATGTCAGCAGTGAAGCCAGTCATTACAGAGCCTGTCCCGTGCCATCTGGAAACTGATTCTTATACATTATATTTTAGGTCTTCCTTGCCAGAATGAAATGAATAGAATTCAAAAGCTAAGTAGAGGGAAGAGTCTGTTGGGTAAGTTCGATTACTTGCTATTCATTTGCTCAACTAATTAAAGCTTCTGTGATTATTGTAACTTTATATGCAGTAATGGTTTTTCAATTAGAGACTAATGTTTTGAGTCGGGAATATGCAGCACGGAGCGTAGGCCTGACACTATGAAATTAAACAAATAATGAGATAGCAACACACAGAACAGGTGTCAGCATGGCAACGGGTTCAGAGCTAATTTACAGCTCTCCAGAAATGCAAAGCCTTGTCTGCACAGAGCTTAATACTGCCTTCATCACCTCACAGGTCAGAGTAAGAACTGGGAGGCTGCTTGATACTCAAGGTTCCCATTTTTGAAGGGTGACTGAAGGTGTATAGCCAATGCATTCATGGTCTCTTCCAGTTGTGGTACAATGCAGGCTTTCCTTGGGGTTCAATTTCGCTAATTACTCTTTAAAATATTTCAGTATATTGAGTGTATATGAAAACAGGAATTCATATCACCTCATTTTAGGCAGCTTGCAGGATGCTTCATGCTGTAAGATGTGGTCATGCCTGTCCCTCTCTCTCTCGTGCCTATTGGGAGCCTGAATTGATTCATTACTTACTCTGATGGATATCTAAAATTAGGTTAAACAAATCCCCATCTGGCATTTTCCCAATTTATTGCTGGAAAATCAGGTTGCTGAACTGAAAAAAATTCAAGTGACTAATTCCCTACCCTAAAATCACCCAGTGATGTGTGGCCTGGTGTTTGTGCGCTGGTGTTTTACCAAAACTTGTGTCCCAGCGCATTGTGCACACAGAGCCCAGCCCCTGAGGCACAGCAGGACAGATGCAAGCCCTGCACTTCACCCTTGAGGAGTGGCTGACCTCAGCCCAGCTGTCAGCCCCATCATGGAGAGCATGTCCGGCTCCCAGAGCATCCCCAGCTGCAGCCCAGGGTGTGCTCAGCTCTGCTGCAGGGCTGCTCGTGCCTCCCACACTGCAGCCTGCTGCTCCTCAGGCTCAGCACACCCTGCAAAGCTCAGCTCTGCCAAATCCTGCCTCTCCTAGATGCCACTGCCTTTTGGGCTCAAGGTTCAGGTGCCTTGTGAACAATCCCAACCTGGATTCATTGCTTTAAATAAGAAGAAGAATAAACATTCCTGGGACTGTAGTTTAGATCCATCATCCTTTCATAGCAAGTTTACATGAAGATTAGGATGTTTCAGAGTCACAGCTCCTGCTGTTCCTAGCTGTGGGAGCAAAGGGAGGATTGATCACTTGGGATATGTGTGCTCCATTCAGTAAATATTCTGCATTTGTGTTCAAGGGAATGTTGAGGCAAAGGAAGTAACAATGTTCTCTGTCTCATGGGTGTCATGATTTTCAGTCACCTAAAAGAATAAGAAGCCCAGTTCTTAACAGATAGCTTTGACTATCCCATATTTATTTTATGCTTTGCTGTTATTTTCTACGTGCAATAAATGTCATCTAGGTTGGAACATAGGTAGTTTGTTCTGGTGTGTGGGAAGAATGATGCCTGGGTTGCAGGTAGTTCAACATGCAGGTGGTTGTAGCACATGTCACTGGATCTGAGCACAGTAGCAGGAGTAAAATGACAAAGTAAAAGCAGTAGGAATGGTCCCTTAGCACAAATAACTTCTAGTCAACTGTATTAATAAAAAAAAAAAAATAGAAGAAGAATGAAAGTGGTGAAGTTCAACAAATCAAGGTGTCAGGCACAGGTTGTTCCACAAGCTAGAAAATTATAATATAAAGAGGAACTCTTTGCTTCACCTACCCTGAAAGTCTTCCTGCATAATGACACCTGTCATGGAGATTTTAATTTGATATCAGAGCTATTTATACAGCAGAAAACATTGTCTTTTCTCTTCACTGTCTGAAAAATCATTCAAATGGAAGCTCAAACATACACGTGACTGGTAGCAATGGTAAAGTTGGAAAAGAGAGATAAGTATTTTCAAAGAAAGTAATATTTAATTATTCTCTTTCCTCCTCTGACCCTGACATAGAGAGCACAGCACTTACAGTTTGGGTACTAGCATGAAGAATGTTTTTGTTAACTTGTATCCATTGATAAAAATGATGACTTTTGATATTTCCTTCTCTATATATTTTTCAAAACACATGACAGTTGGAACAAAGTACTTCAAAGCCATTGCCATTAGATATGTTGAATTTGGAGGCTTTCAAATGAAGTCTAGCATCCCAGGAGACTGAATTAAAAAGTAAACAGCACTATTCATCTTTTCCTACCAGATTTATCTGGAGTACAATTAACTGCAGAGACTGTACTTTTAGAGCATACAACTGTGCAGCCTGATAATGCTTCTCCCACTCCACTAAAGTAATAAATTTCTGCTCCCATCACTGTTTTCTCCTATATCAACCCTGTGGATTTAGCTAATATAATAGCTAATACCAGGAGCTGTGTGCTGGCTAGTACTTACTTCTGACAGACTTTTACCTCTATCTTTAGCATATAATTATACTCCTCCTGTTCTCTAAGGAAGAGGAGTGTTATATAGATAAGGAAATGATGCAAAAAAAAAAAAAAAAAAGAGGTCTAGGTCTGGGTCCATAGAGAGGATACAGATGCAACAGTGCTGTTCAAGTTTGTGTGGAATAACCAAACCCTTCCCAGGACAAAGGCAGATGGGGAGGCAGGATTCAGTAGCTTGAGGCAGTTTGTGGGGAGGGACTCACATTTTGTGAGTCCAGGCTTGTGGGAAGCACTGCCTGTGCAGGAACCTCTGGAGAGGAAAGCTGCAGATGTTCCCTGATGCCAAACCCAGCGAATGGCCTGTCTGGGTGTCATGCTCCAGGATAGCAGAGCTTGCAGCCAGCTCATTTCTAACAGAGAGGCTGATTTGTGTACATTTGTGTACAGTTCACAGGGAGAATCATCACGTTGTGCAACACTTGTTCCCAGCCACTCTCTATCCTCTCCAGATTATCACCTGCACCTGACACATCAGACAGGACATGCTGCATCCTCCCTCTGAGGGTTGGCAAATACTGGGACATTAGTATGCACAGATAAATGTTTAAAGCTCCAGTGTTGCATACAAATTGGCATGAATTTCCCACGCAGAAGGAAAAGCACCTTCCACTCTTCACTGTGACCCAAAGTGTGAATCTATTCCACACACAGTTATCTTGGCACTGAGCCTGGGCCACAATTTATTTTTAAATCTTCTAAAGCTTTTACAGGCAGAGTGGAACATTTTCATACCTTACAAGAAACAGTGAAACTATGCAAAAAGGCCTGTTTGAAAGAAGGAAAAGGTTGCATTGCCCTAGGAAAAGAGAAAGCATGAGACAGTTTAAAATGCAGAAACTGTTCTCTGCTCACCCTGTAATGCCCCTCAGGTGCCCCTTTGATCCTTCCCTGGAGCCAGATGTTGATCAGATATAAAAGGGCAGCTCTAGTGGTGTGGGTACAGCTGTGCTGATTTACACCAGTTCCAAGTCAGCACCTGAGCACTTTTCCCAAGGTTGTGTACGGTTTGATAAACATTTGCAGTGCTTATCAGAGGCAGGACATGAGCATAAAAATAAAAAAAATCTTTCCTAATTGATATTGAAATGAAGTTTTGAATACTGATTACTAACTTACAAAAACCTGCCAAGGCAAATACATATGTTTATTATTAAAACTATTGTCTTATAAATAGTGACAATTAATCTTTGATAGTTGCTAGCATGTATTTGTACATGAACATAATGGTGATTCCTATTAGCAAACCTGCTACAAGATCATGCTTTGACATTATTTAAAATATTCTCACTCATGGATGTGGTCTCCAAAACTGATGTGATAAACAAAGATTTCTGCAGATGTTCAAAGGTTTCTCTTCTCATCTCCCAGAACCTGTATTAGCAGCACTCAAACTTTGGACAAGATCTGCAGAGCAATGAGTTTGGATATTCAGATTCACTTTGTGTGAATTTCAGATTCACTCTCTGTGTGCATGAGACTGACTGACTTCCACTTTCATGTCTTTTATAGAGGAAATCTGGTGACATTTGGGCAGCACCTTCTCATTCATCTTTTCCTGTGAGAAATGTAGTGGAAGTGGCCCCTTTGACACATGTGCTGTCTGAATAGATGCTACACATGGAACTAGTTAAAAAACTTTACTGAACCACCAGTAAATCACTGGTATCTTTGACAGAGGAGAAAAACACTTTCTCAAAAATCGTTTGAGACAAGAAATTTGGGGGCAAGGGGGTGTTTATGCCATGTTTCAAATTGAAGCAATTGACAAAGAAGGGAAAAATGAATGTACTGACCTCCAGCGGGAATAAAGCTAACTCATCTCCAAGAACAAGAGGACTTTTCATACTGAAGTACATTTGCTGTATCTGCTGAAAAGGGTGGGAACAATAACATAGGTTTCTCCTGAGAGTTTCCCTCTCTGCAGAAGCCAGAATGAACCACACTCTACAAGGCTGAAATCTATTGGTTTTATTGTGAGACAAAACTTGGGCTTCAAATCCTAAGACTTACTGATTCAGATCCTGTTGTCCCTCTCTGTAAAGCCTGTGCATTATTTCTTCTTTTATACATGGGAGCTCTCAGTAAGTCAGGGGATGGGCCTGAGATGAGTATGAATAGCAAGCAGATGGCAGATACCTTCCAGGGATAATTACAGTGTTGTGGAAAGACTCATGTGATAAACACTGAAGGAGTGCAAATGGAGGGAAATACAGAACTAATGAAGTTGGGGTAATTATCCAGTTGGGAAGAAAAGTTTTAAAACCAGGACTTAAATGTGAAAAGGCTCTGTGGGAATATCAATCATTCAGGGCAGACTGAAGCTCTCTCTAGAGCTGTGTGACACTCTCCTCTGTGTGCTGGATATGAACAAACATTTATACTCTGTGACCAGGTTGTCTGAAAAGAGTTCACCAGAAATAATTCCTTTACCCTTTCAGGCACCAGATAATCACACGTATTTCCTTGCCAACATTGTCAAGATCTTCATGTGTATAAGTGCTAAGTTCATAATACCCTGTGTGTGTGTTTGCTCCTGCAGAGGATTGCATTACTGAGCACACCTTATATTTTATTCAGGTGCTTTCATCCCCCGCTGCAATGAGGAAGGTTATTACAAAGCCACGCAGTGCCATGGCAGCACAGGGCAGTGCTGGTGTGTTGATAAGTATGGCAATGAGATAGCTGGCTCCAGAAAGCAAGGCACAGTCAGCTGTGGTGAGTAATGATCTGCTTTCCTCAAACAATGGGGGAATTAACACTGCTGTAACCCTGCCATTGCTGTACCACCACCCAGGATGATGACAAGAGGGAAAACACAAGTAGCACAGTTCAAAGTGCTCCTCTGTTCTCCTGTTCACACACAAATGGGGCCCTCATGGGTCCTTTGGACAGCAGGGGTGCAGCACAAGTTAGCAGGCAATAACCACTGTTAAGGTATTTTTGCTACAAGCCTGGAAAGTGCAGTTAGTGATATTAAATTAAGGAACTGGGGTTGATCTGCATGGTTATTAAATACATTGTTCTGTATACTCTGGAATGCACATCTACTGGAACTTTCCAGACAAGGGAAGGCCTAAATGTGTAAAATTGTGTGCATTAGCAGCCAAGCCCTATACAACTGCTGACAGGACAATATTGTGTAGGTAAGTGAAATCACCAATTAGCTGTTGTGCCCAGACAAGGAAGATGTCACCTACAGTCCTTTAGAGTGCCTCAGGGATGGTTTTGAGTGCAGCTTTCTTTTTTGAGGAGCAGAGATCTAGAAGGTCCAGGATGCCCAGAATAACATCACAGATCTTAGGTTCAATAGCTACATTTACAGAGTGAGGTTTATGCACTCAAATAAAACCATTTTTTAATTTTTTTTTTAGCATAGTATACAGAGCAGTGATGAAATGAAAGGAATAATGATTTTCTGGCCTGCATGCACATGTTCTGGAATTTTCCAGTCAAGCCTCTAGGAGGAAGACAATGCATAAGGGGGCGTTTTATGCAAAAAAATTCAGAGTTTATAGATATGTATTTTTCCCAGTTCAGAATGAAAATTGATATTTTAAGGTTGTTTCGTGAAAGCTGAACCAATTAATTTAAAAAATAACATTGCAAATGACAGTGGCTTGCATGACAATGATAGTGATTAATGTGGAATTTGGTGTTCTGTGAGGAAATGACCTTTCCTGCTCACCTGTTTCAGAAGAAGAGCAAGAAACCTCAGGGGATTTTGGCAGTGGTGGATCTGTTGTATTGTTGGATGATTTGGAAGAGGAACCTGAAGCAACAAAAAAAGACAAAGAAGGGAAACTGAAGATTCATGTAAGAGCAGCTAATGAAGATGATGAAGATGAAGATGATGATAAGGATGATGAAATTGGTTATATATGGTAGTGCCCATCATGATGAGGACTCACATTTTGCACAATATTGCAACTCACATCATATCTCTGCAATTGTATCTGAGAGTACCTGGCACAAAAATTCCCTCTCTACTGAGTTTAATTTTGTATAGCCAATTTAATTTGGATGACAACTTTTTTTTCCAGCAAAGGACTGTTTGGAATACAGCTTTTGTTCAGTTGGTTTGGGGGATTTTTGTTCTATCCACAGGGGCAATCAGTTTTGTTTCAAAACCATTTTGTGTCTTAATCCTCATTTGCACCACTAATGAAATCCGTCCTGTGAAAGAATCCTGGAAGGGGCTCAAAAAAAAACAATACAAAGGCTTAGAAGCCGCTCTCATGTCAGAGAATTTGTGTCATAAATTGTTACCTGAATCATATGAGAAGAAGGTTTTTCTTTCATGAAGAAGGAAAAGCAGGTGCCTCGTTTTCCAGTATATATTTATAATGTCCCAGTGAAGAGTAAGTATCTTTGGACAGTGGCTGCCCAGTACCAGGGGTTTAATCCAGAGGAAAACTCAGGACTGGCAGGACTTTCCCTTCCTTCCACTCTCTGAGCATGAGTCAACAGGTTTAGTCCAGCTCACACTGAAGGCAAAACTCCCACCAGGGCACAATCAGCTCACTGACACTCTTTATTTGATAAAGAACACGACCTTCTTGATCTTAAGAGATGCTGCAGCTGTCCTGGACCAAGGGTGTTTAAGGGGAGAGCATTTGGTGAATTTGTAGCACCACAAGCACCCCCAGAGCTGTTCCTCAGCTGCTCATTTGCACCAGGAGGGTCCCTGATAACACACAGGCAGCTCTGCTCCCAGCTCACACACCTCAGAGCTCTCTGTTCTCCACTGAGCAGCCCTCCTCCCAAAGCCAGAATGCTGCCCAAGACACCAACCCTCAAAATGTACAGATACCTGTTTAAAAAAGCAGTTTTAGGTGGTGATATTGCAAAAGCAAAACCCTTTGGCTCAGTGTGGCTGCACGCTTGTAGTACACACTCCTAAAAGAGAATAGAATTAAAATCCAATCTGTGATTCCCTCAATACCTCCCATATATTCAAAGCTCTTGTATCAGAGCATATTGACATTACATTATTTGCAGTGTCCTTTCCCATGGCAGTTCTCAGATACAGTAATGTGCTGTGGTGATCTTTTATTGTTTTTGCTGTTTTGTGAAGCAGTAAGAGGAACCTTAACCTCACTCTTGCAGTAGGATGCAGGTGTAAGTATTTTAGCAGAGCCTGTGGTTGGCCAGTGAGTTATTTTGCAGAATGAAAAACGTGTTTTTTATAACAAAAACTAATTAGATTTTTTTTCTGAGTTAATGGTGGATATAGAGGTGGAGACAGCATTGAGTCACAACATGGTTGTCTACATAGTTAGTTGAAAGCTGGAAAATACCACACAGGTTGGCAGAAGTCAGTTTTTAGGTACATTGGCCTGGGGATGTTGGCTCTCAGCCCTCTCCAAAGCCAGTGCCTGCCTGGCAGCCCTCTGGGTAGGACCTCTGCTTTCAGATGTGATCAGAAGTGGAATTCCTTTCAGGTACCATGTGCTGCAGGGGCTCTCCTGTTTTCTCCTCTTTTATTTCCTATTTATCCAGATCAATGACTTGAGAACAAAGAGCAAGCCTACATAATCATTATTAATGCAGAAGGATGTGTAAAACCATGAGGAATTTGTTGTTTCACGCCCCTGCATCCTCCCAAAAATCTGCCATCACAGTCATTTGCAAAAGGCCTGCAATCTGCGCTGCCTCAAATAAATCCCTTTGGTTTTCCCATAGCTTTAGAAAAATATATTTAATAATCATTTTCCATGAGCTGCACCACACACACAGACACACACACATGCACATATGCACACTTTTTCTATTTGCCTTTCACAGAAATCTTGCCAACTTGCAAGAGGAGCAGAAAACCCAGCATTTCTGTCTCCCTAAATATGATTTTGTGAGAAGCAATTGAACACTGTCAGTAGATTCCTTCTCAAACACCCTGTCTAGTTTTCCTCTGGTATTTTCTTAATTAACCCCACACTCTCTGGGCCTGGCTCTGCTGTCCTGTGCAAGACCTGCCTGAGGCACAGAGCTGCCATTTCATTCTGCCATAAGTCTGAGCTCCACAATCAGCAGATTATGCTGATCCTCCTGGCTGGACTCATTCTCCACACAGAGCCAGGGGGTTTTTGGCAGTTCTGTGTCCTTCCAACACAGATTATCCTGGGCTGTGCCTTCCACCAAAGGTCACAGAGCAAATCCCTTCTCCTCCCCAGGGCAGAGCCTGGCACTCTGAGCCCTTGCAGGCAGCACCAGGTCTGAGGCTGCAGGGGGCTGTGTCCCGTGTAAACATGCAATATGGTTAAATGAAAGCTGTTAAATAAACCTTTAAAAGGGAATGTGAACATCTTCACATGTGCAGACATGGCAGCACCACCCACTGGTGGTCTCCTGGCTGTGATCTTTTACATGAGATGCTTCCAAATCAGAGTTGGAATTATAAGTCAGAGCTTTATATCTAACTGTAAACCAATTACTGTCTGTCAGACTCAACAGCTCAAACATGGAGTGGTGAAACAGCCCCAGTGAAACAGCTCCATGCCCAGCACAGCCTGGTGAAGGGTCAGGTGCTTTGGCTGGCTTGGGTGGCCCCTGGTAGCTCATCCCCAGCACCCAGAAACACACACAGACACACACAAACTGTTGTAGGCATGCTGGCCTGGATCCAGGCCAACCCCCCACTCTCCAGTCACCTCTTTGACTCGTGCAAGTGTTCTTCTGGCTCCAGCCAGAGTGGGAAATGTGCCATTTATGGGCTAGGGCAGCTGGGCAGGGCAGCCCTGGCCAGTCCCAGGGTCCAGCAGGCAGGAGCAGGGTACACATGCTTGGAGGGGCAGCTCAGAGTCTGGATTGCTTTGAGATCAAGTTCCCAAATCCTGAAAAGATATTTAACAAAGCCCTTTTGTGATCCACTGGCATCCTCCCATGGTGGGGACCTGCAGCCTATATATACACATGTATAACTCAGTGTGACTGTATATATGCATTTATGCACAAATATGTGTGTGCATATGTGTGTGTGTGTGTGTGTGTGTGTGTGTGTGTGTGTGTGTGTGTCCAGTTTGGGGAGATGCATTAAGAAAATCTTCTATTTAATGAAATAGTGATAAAGAAACCAGCAATTCTACCAAGAACCAGTGCTCCTCCAGATCAAGCCCCTTCCATTTTTCATGCTTTGTAAAGGATTTAATTTGCTTCCAACTTATTTTAATTCAATTCCTTTCTTTTTCTTTTTTTTACAAAGCAAGACTTACTTCCCATCTGAATCAAGTCATTGACCTTCCAAACATTTTCTCATTGTCAAAAATGGAATCTGAGTTGTCCCATTCTTTTAGAGACACAAACCAAATGGAATCAGAGTTGTCCCATTCTTTTAGAAACACAAACCAATTTTTAATCTCATTTTCTTTTCAAATTACAGTCTATGAGGTACTGTTAGGCATTGCTTTATGTTCCTTTTAACTAGTGTAGTTAAATCAAAATGTTGAGTTCAGATTTCAGCACAGCTGGATTTTTTTTGGTCATTACTGGCCTTTGCTGTGAACACAAAGAATCCTCTTTATTTAGTTTGCCTTTTTTTTAAGCTATTCTGTACTATTATTTTTAACCATTTGAACTGTTTATTTAATATTTATTCTACAGTTTATATTGAAGATGTAAAGTTTATATTTAAAACAACACTGTTTGTTAGTGAATGCTTCTCTTTGCCTCCCCAGCCTAGTCTTTTAGTCTCAGTGTACATTTCTGGCATGGGAATATTTTGATATTAGGAGTTTTGTAGCCTTTTCTCCCTCAAGCAGCAACTGATGTAGATCTAAGGTCAGCACCTGACCCAGCCCAGGTCGCTCAAGCTTCGCTCCCTCCATTTGTTGGCTTCTCTGCAGCCCCTCCTGTGTCCCATCCCTCCACCCACAGACTGCCTTGTACAGTTCCTACACATCAAAAAGCCCTTTCTACAGTAGGTGGGTTCTGGTCTTTTTATACTTTTCTCAATGCTGTTGATGTCTGTTACTGTTCAATGTGTAGATCTGTAAGGAGAAATCCAAATATTTCGTGTTTCAGTTCGATGTCCCTACTGTAGATGGATGTAGACTATCATAGTAAGTAGAACTGCATAGTAAATTCTGAATGCTTTTTCCATAAGGAGTTAAGTGGAATGTGAGCATTTTGCTACCTTTGGTTAACTGTAAATGCTTAACTGTAGTCTGAAATAGTTGCATTTTTCTCTGTCTCAATAAATTTTAATTTGTCTGCGACTCCTTGTTGCCTGTCCTGAATTTTATTAAACTTAGGGGATCAAAAATACTGCACTACCTTGAGTCAGCATTTAATCATACATGGAAATGGATGCTCTTTTATATTTGCTTCATAACTTATACCTCTGTTCAATGCCAGCTGTAATCTGTGGAGTTAATGCAAGGTCTCCAGAAACCTCTATTTCACAAGTAGAAATGAAACTAAACGGAATGGAATAACTGTACCAAAATCAGAACTTTTCAAATTATATTAAAATTGATTTTTGAGGAACTAGCAAGGGCAGAAGGGGAAGCTTTCATTTTTATTTCCTCTCCAGATTGCAAATTGTCACCTTTTTCTGTCTCTTCTGAAGGTATCCAGGGCAATTCCACAAACACAGCCACACTCTGCAGTGGCCATTATCTACATGATAAATGAAGGCAAAATTATATTAAATACAATTGGTGGGAAGCCATCCTCATTTAGAAATACCTGGGTTTGTGTCTCTATAATTAAATCAGAGCTTGTCTTTAATATTATTAACCAATTTAAACAGCCAGCATTATTGCAGTGCTAATTACAGAGTCAAAAATGTTATTTCATCACCTTTTTCCTATATGTGGAACATTAAAAGTACCAGGTGAAAAGAGAAACCAATTTGCAGGCATTTTCACAATTGTCATCTCATCAAGTATGCACTGATAATATATCTAACCATTGGCTAAGCTGGGCCATCAACGGTCAGAACCTGCCTGAAATTTCAGTTCAAGTGCCTGCATTCATGAGTTTATTTTTACTGTGGGTACCACACATCACTTGCAGTATATAACTTACCTGACTCTGAGAACAACTGGGTTTTCCCTTTCCCAAGCCACTCTGAGCCTCTTTGAAGTGTTTGATCTTCTGTGCTGAAGTGTCTCAGCTGTTCCAGATGTCAGATGCTGTGTGTGGCACTGAGTGCTGGGAGCAAAGCAAAAGAAATCCAGAGCTTAGAGGTGTGTGAGTTGTAAATGAGATTTTAGTTGTCAGAAAGGGTTGATGATTGGAGCTCTATTCTTTTTTAATATTCCTTCCAGCTTTCAAATTA